GCGTGAGAGAGAGATGGGGAGAGAGAGAGAGAGAGCGAGAGAGAGAGAGAAAGAGAGAGAGAGGAAGAGGGTGAGAGAGAGAGAGAAAGAAAGATACAGAGAGGAAGGGGGCGCTGTGACGTCTACCGTAGCTTGCCAAGAGAGGCATACGACGATAAGGTGAAGCGAGGCTGCGTCCTTAGCGTCGGTCAGGAGAAGCCCCACTACCTTGTGCATATTTACCCACACACCAAAATCTAGACATATGTGGGAGAGAGGGTAGCATCTTGGTCATTAAAATGCAGCTCGGGCAATTCCCACCACAAGCTAGATACCATCATGGTGGCAGAATGTGAATAGTTATAGTGCGTGTGCATAATTACAGAAGTGTATATATATTATCAGTCATTGAATGTGAATAGTCTATAGTTGCAAAGCTACTCGTTCCGTAGCGTTTAGATTTTTGCAACCATTTAATTACCAGGTATTACGGTACAACTAGACTGTGTAACGTACGCCCCATTATTGAAGCAACAATCATTGCTTATAGCTATTTGCACAAAGGATAACGACGGATATGAATTACTTCTGATAATATTAGTGGAGCTCTATGTTTTCAATGAACAAACTCGAGCGCATAAGCTTATAGACGTCTATAGTCTATACGTTATATAGACTATATTTGTACTGACAAATAATTGGGTGACACGCTACACATGAAAGTAGTCAGCAGTAATTAGTTCTGCTAATCCAGCCTGACAAGCCAGACCTCAGTCTCACACTGTCCCAGATTTCGCCCCCGAATAAATACGGTTTCCAGCCGATAGATGGCGCCAGCAGCGAACGGCCGCGGGGGTGCGCACACGTACGTACGCCCTCGTTCGCACGCAACCTGGTACTACGTAGCCAACTGCAGGGTGGCGGACGGTTAGTGAGGTTTTAGTTGACATACAGTGAGTGACACACGACTATCGGCAACCCGACGAACTGACGTACAATCGCTGTACAGCTATATATCACAGCCACATGATTAACGATGGCTCATGATCACTAAAGCTGCTGTCGCACAATGCTCGCAGGCTAGCATCTGTGTTCGCGAGTGCCCTCCCTCACTCTCAACAACACACACGTGTGGGGCGAGTGTGAAACACACACACGCACGCACGCACACATACACACACGCACGCACGCACGCACGCACGCACGCACGCACGCACACACACATGCACGCACACACACGCACGCACGCACGCAGGCACGCACACACACACAGCCGCGCGAATAGCTACACCTACACTCAAACAACCACCCCCGCAACACAAACAGTCGACGCACAAACGAGTACACGCGTACGCACGCACGCACGCACGCACGCACGCACGCACGCACACACGTTAACAAACCGCATATACTCAGGCGCGAAGAGAGGTATCAAATAATATTTTACATTTTACGACAGGGCAGATTTCAAGGTACACATTTACTCAACGATTACCGATACACTATCCAAACTTAACGCGACATTGAACCCATGTAATTCTACTTTTTCTATTATGAACTCCCCTCACCTTTCCACACACGCCCACGCACACGCACACGCACACGCACACGCACACGCACCCGCACTAGCGCGCCTCCGCGTCGGCGGCGGCTGCGTCGTCTGCGAGCGGGGTGCGTCCGAACGCGGCCGAGAGACGCGTCGTGAGCCGCGCCGACTTCTTGCGCAGCGTGTGAACACTGATGCGCGCCATCAGCCCGGCGCCGCCACGCTCTCCACCGCCCTCCTTCCGATATTTATGCACGAGCTCGTACCGCCGCTTGCTCTCGTTGATCGCCGCGGCGACGTCGGTTGCCGTGGTGACGGAGGCTGCGAGGCGGGCGTGGTCCGCGTGCGCGTCGTCCGTGGCGCGCAGCAGAGCGTTGAGCAGCAGCGGGTATTTGAGCACGCGCTGCACGGGCTTGATGAGGATCGAGCCGAGATCGAAGCAGACGCAGTCGCGCGCGCGGACCGCCGCGACGACCCCGTCTAGGTGCCGCGCCGCCGCCGAGTCCTCGTCGTCGTAGTAACGCTCGAGTAGCGCGGTGGCGCCCTCGTAGTTAGTGCAGTACTCGCCGTACGCGGCCTTCATGTCGTCGGCCACGTCGAGGAAGCATTTCCCGATCGGCTGCGCGTCCGCGGGTTTTGCGGCGGCGCCCTCTAGCAGCGAGAGCAGGCGCGCGGCGACCTTGGTGACGTCTTCAAGGTTGCCGAAGAGACCGGGGAGGTCGATGCCGAGGTCGTGCGCCGCGTGCGGCGAGCCCAGCAGCGCTACCTCGCAGGTCGTCTGGAGGTCACGCACGTAGGCGCGCTCCGTCTGCAGGAGTTCGTCGACCACCAGGTCGCGCTGGCGGCTCGCGTGCTCGCGTGACCGCGCCGCGTCCGCGCGTGCGGCCTCCCTCGCCCGCCGCCCCTCGTCCTCATTCTCGCCGCCAGGGTGCGCCTGCGTGCGGCGGCGGCGCGGCGTGGGAACGGGCGGTTGCGGCGCCGGTCGCACTGGCATGAGCAGCTGCGCTCGCTCGCGGTCGTCACGGCAACGCGACGCGGCCGCCTCCTCTAGCACCGGGTAGACCTTCCCGCCAACCGTCTGCAGCGGCGCCACCTGGTGGCTCTTCTCACCCCGAGCGGGCGACATGATGTCAGCGGGATGTCGATCTTGGGGGCTTTCTTCCGGAGGCGGTCGCCGCGGCGACGGGCTTACCGGAGAGATTCTTGCTGGCGGCGCCTCGACGTGGGTGACTGCGGGGAAATGCTGCTGCTGCTGCTGCTGCTGATGTTGCTGCTGCTGCTGCTGCTGCTGTTGCTGTTGCTGCTGTTGCTGCTGCTGCTGCTGCTGCTGTTGCTGTTGCTGCTGCTGCGGTGGCGGCGGCGTGGAGGCAGCGTGATGTGGATCGTCGTGGGACGCGGCTGCTGCCTGATGGGCGATCACTGGCATCGTAACTGAAGGAGAAAGAGAGAGGTCGCGAGTTAAGTTACGGCGCTGACAATTCGACGGGAAAGTTTGCTGTTAGGCTGCTGCTATACGGCTGACTCATTCAATATAAGTGCCGAGGATGGAGCATGTTGGGCTTTCATGTATAGAGAGGTAGATAGTGCGTGTGTGCAAGGGAGAGATATATAGATCGATGGATTGATGAGAGAGAGAGAGACAGAAAGCGAGTAAGCAGAGAGAGAGAGAGAGAGAGAGAGAGAGAGAGAGAGAGAGAGAGAGAGAGAGAGAGAGAG